GTGTCATGGGGGGGGCGACCATATATTTACATATATATATATATAACTATTTATACATAAATATATGTAAATATAACTATATATATATGTATGTATGTATCTATACACATATACCACACATATTACATATTCCAAGTATGATGCTAGAAAATCAGGAGCACTGCCGAAATGCTTCCCCCAAGAGCTGGCGGGATTCGGACTTATTTGGGACATAAGCTCAAATAAGTATTCCTCGGCGCGAGTCCCTGTGAATCGGGCCCACACCAACGCACACACCAATTCTCGCTATGCCCTACGCAAGACCCCAATCAGTAGTGTGTACCGTACTGTTTGGGGCACTTTCCAATTACATTACATATTGATAAATTCTGCAGCCCGTCCTCTCGCACGCTCGGCCAGCTGCCGCACTTTGGCTGGCAGCCCTGGGAGCGTGTCTCCGTCGGCCTCGCGATTGTCACTTCTGATCCACTACAACCGCACATGCAACTCTATCGGTCGATCGGTCGAAATGGACGATCGTCTTGGGCATCTGCCTGCAGGAAAACCGAACGCAGCGCCCCCGGACTCCTTGGTTACGTCAGCCCAGATCTCAGGTGCAGCCTTCTTGTCGCCTGGTGCTCAACTTTTTTTCCCAGCTCGAAAATTTCCAGTCGCAGGAGACGGGTCCTGGAGCCTTAAGCATGACTGGAAACTGGTTAATTACACTTACATCGGTTTCGATCTATGGACACTGATGCTGCTAGCAGCTAACCATCGTGCGCGCGAAGAGCAAAGCTTGCTCGACTGCTCGCAAGCCACCTTGCTCATTGAGTGGATTCTGAAACGGCGCAGCACTTTTGAAACCAGCTAGGAGCTGTTGGAAGGCTTCACCAAAACTCACAGCAACACGGTAATTGTCTTCAAATGGGTTGGTGGAGCCTGTCCTGGCCTCTTGGCCACCAAAGTCTCTCGGAAGCTCTTAAGAAGTCTCATTACCACCAGAACCTCCTGAGCCTCGAGAGCCACTCGAGCTCGAGTCGGCCGGGAGATTTGGGCCATTACCGCTGCTTCGGACCTCGTCTGCTTTGGCCTCGGCTTTGGCCCCGGGTCGTGGCCTTCGCCTGGCAGGCGGCGGCTCCGCTGGCCGGGCAGCCTTGCCTGCACAGCAAATGAAGACGAGAAGCAGACTCGAGCAGCTCTCTCGCTCTCAGAAGCCGCGACAAGGAAAGTGCGGTTGCATAAGCCCGCCTGCCGCACGGCTCTTGGCCTCGCAGCTCTCGCCACTCGGCGTCTCGCTCCGCATCTCGCTCTCGCCGCTCTCGCCGCTCTCGCCGGCGTCGGTCGAAGGGACAAAGGCAGCGGTCGTCGTCTGTGCAGGCTCTGTCGTGTTCTCCGGCCTCGCCGGCATTTGCTTGGCACCTTCGCTCGGCTTGGGCGGTGTCTTTGAGGCCCCTCTCATCCAACCGGCGTCTGCAAAGGAGCGAAGGGCCACTCTCCTTTCATCGTCTTCGGAGAGATCCTCCTCTAAGTCGAAGGGTACGCGATGACGTTCCATAAGATTTCGAAGCAGCGGAAGGTCCAGCTGCTCAAGATCTTGCAGGTCGTAGCGGAACTTCTTCTCTGCCGAGAGCTCTGGTGCCACCTCGACATCTGGAGCGCCTTCCAAGTGCCGCACGAGGTCCGCTCTTTCCAAACAACCTGAACAACTCCGAGGATTCTCGACGCTGACAAAAGCGAACAGCAGACTGTGCAGCAACTCCGAGCCACCTTCCCCTGAGACGCCCAGCGCATCCATGAGCCTCGCAAGATCTCGCAAGCAAGCCTTCAAGAAGACGATGACGATTGGTCAGGACGAACGTTCTCTCAAGACATCGGCTTCACACTCTACCCGGTAAGAAGGAATGGTTGCCCGGGAAAAGGGGGATGGATCTGTCCCTCTCGCTCTCTCTCTCTCCGACCAAATTCTGAACGGGCATGAGGGCATGAACAGAGAAACCGGCACAGAAGAGAGGCGACACATGTCGGTTCACGAAGAACCGCAAAGCGACGCAAAGCGCAGCAAAGCCTTCGAAGCTCGGAGATTCGGAGCATCCTCAGCTCGGCCGCGCGGAGTCGCACGATCCGCCCGGACATGCGGGTCCGCCCTCGGCTGGCAGAGTTGCTGTCATGTGCCGCTTTGCCGACTGCAGGCCTCTATAGGCTCTCTATCCCCTAGGTGCAGGACGTCCAGATTCGAAATCCTCACAGTCGGTTGCAAGCTCGTACCGACAAACCTTAGAAGCCGGCCGTTTCCCACTGACGCATTGGGAGAAGCTGTTCGCGCTGCGATCTTGCGGCACAAGCAGCGGGGCAGGTGTTGGCCTCCCGCAGCCACTCGCGGATGCAGCCGGTGCAGAACAAGTGCCCGCAGAGCATCCTCTGGGCAGAGCCGTGGTGCTCGGGTTTGGGACGCCTCATCCCTGGGCACGACAAAGAGAGAGAGACTCTAGAGTCTACAGCGCCTGGTTGCGCGGACACCAGGCCGATAGTCCTGACGACTAATCCAAGGGACTCAGCCACATCTGAATTTCACCAGCCTCCAAGCAGACGGAACACTTCGAGTTGGTGGCATCCAGCAAATCTTCCTTTCAGACAATTGAGAAGCAAGGACACTCGTGTATCATCCGACTCCCACGACCTATATTGCAACTCAATTTTCCCTCGGGTCCTTCGTCACAACGACACGAGGCAGGGCATCACGTACTCTTTCGCTGGCAGGGGGTACTTTTGGGCCAGATTCTTCCATGCTACGCTGCATGGCGATCTGGGCCATCTGCTCCATCATCATGCGCATGATACCACCTGAACTGCCCACGCTGCACAGAACATGCCGCGCCCTCGCACGAGACCTAACGTGCTGGCCTAGGGCATCTGCAGCATCCTCCTGGCTCAGCGCCAAAGACATGGTTGCCCCTTCTCAGGCCCCCTCGAAGGCAACGGCATTTTTGGGTCCTCTGCGGCCACGGGCACACGGGAGACCTGGCCACCCAGGCTCTGCAGGAGGCCCAGCGGCAAGGGGAAGCCCGGCTCTGAGCCTGCACACACACACACACACACACAAAAAGCGCGCTTGGCGAAAGGCGAAAGGCCCCTGATTTTGGGGCGTCGGCTATGGAGTTCTTGGATCCGAGCAGCCGCTGGGCGTGATGGCGGCCCCGACCAAGCCACGGCCAGGCAGCGTGAGCAGCGTGATCGTGCCGCCTTCTCGAGCAGGGCCCAGGGCACCGGCACCGCTGTTCAGAAGGGCCGCCAAGGAGAAGGGAAGATCACCCATGGCCCCACAGGAGCACTCACCACCAACAGGCGAGCTCAGCAGCTCATGAAAGGCGACGACAAAAGGCGAAGGCAAAGGCGAAGCCTTCAGAAGGCCGAGCCGCTCGAGTTCTTCACAGACTCTCAGTTGGTTCTGCCCCAGAGGCAGAGGTTTTTGGGGAACTAACTGTGGGCTCCTTTCGTTCGGCTTGGACAACCATGTGCAAGCACTGAAGACTGAAGAGAAGACTTGACGAACATCTGCATTGAACTGCTGAATCTCTTCCGAATGCATTTCTACTTTCCAGCCATCCTTGAGCCGCAGCGAACCGCTAAACTGAGCGAACGAGGGGCTATGAGGGGCTGTCAGTCAGAGTCTGCCCCTGCTCCGCTCTCAATGCCCGCTCCTGCTCGCTCTCTCTCGCTTGCGTTTCAGCGCTCGGGTCCAGGCTTTCTATGGAGGCGAAAGCCATGTCCGGGCTTTGTAGCCAGCAGCTCAAACAGCTTGTATCTGCGCAGCACATCACGGCATCACATCCTGTCTTAAAGTCTTGGCGACAGTCCAGCCTGCAGATCATGTCATGGCGTCCAATTTCGCGGCTCCCTACCCTATACGGCCGTCTTTTGACGACTATGAGACGGACCTTTCTAAGAGCCGTCAAGAGCTGCCAGGGCCAGTGTTCGTGGCGCGCTGGAATGAAAGACCCCTCGCGGGCCCAGCATGGGCCTGCTCGCGGCGCTTCTTCTCCACCGCCATCTTCGCCTTCTGCTCTGCCTCGAGATCGGCGCCGGCAGAGCCGTGACAGAACCATGCTGTTGGAGGCCTCCTCCTGCTGCTGCCTGCGCTTCAGCTCCTTCATCTTCTCTGGAGGCTTCCACCCTTGGAAAGAGGCCAAGCAAGACGTTCAGTTCTCCCTCGCTCCGCTCCGCGCCGCTTCGAGAGCCAGGCCCAGGGGACGCACGTCCAGCACCACCGGTCGGCTCTTCAGGAAGTGCATCACCTGAAGGGCTCACTGTCACTGGCTCACGGAGGCTCACGTGAGAGACGGCTCTTGTCGGTCTCGGCTCGTTGCGCGCTGCTGATTCTGCTGGACAAGGGCTAGGCCGTTTATGGCGTGGACCTGTGCCAAAGCGACGGCAGGAGTCAGCGGGACCACAGGAGCACAGGCCTCGTAGTTGACGGGGATTCCCTTCTTGCTGGCGAAGGAATCCGGAGCAACCTCACAGGGACGCCGCCCGAACTGAAGAAGCCGGGTCACAGCGGGGCCCTGGCCGACAGGATCATAGGCGGGGAGCCACCGGAAAAGCGAACGCCCAGGGCACCCTGCACGTGGTCTCGGTTGGCGGGGCATAGCTCGCGACTCCAAAGGCGCCTTCTCCTCCAGCGTGAACTCGAAGCGCAAGATGCCCTCCTGCAAGAGAGGAGAGGAAGAGGAGTCATTTCTCACGGAGCTCAGGAATTTCAGGAAGCCTCCAATGGGGGCAGCGCATCGAGGTTCACCGGAGGCGGCTCAAACTCCGCCTCTCCAGCTGACAATCAGACCGTGGACCAGACCTCCCCCGAAAAGCGATGAAGCAGCGTAGAGAATGGGCCGCGGCCGTATCATGAGTCATCAGGAGTTGTGCTTTCGGGAGCATGACCCCGAATCTAGAGTAGAACGAATGACTGCGATGCCCTCCTACGCTTGTCAGCACAGGCAGGTTGACCTGTCCGCCCGGGCAAACACAAGGTCTTGCAATCTTGGCCCGGACAGCCGCACAGGAATCGTGGCCACTGCCATCAGCATGGTGCGTCCATACATAGGAGAGAGCAGCTGGGAATCTCTCGCCAACAGCCCGAGTAGCCTTTCTAGGCAAGCTGCTTCTTGATTTACAAATGAAACTTAGTGGCTTTCCAAAGCCACTCGGCTACAGCCTCGGTCAGACCAATCAAAGTAAACGTGCCAAAGCGACCGCCATTGCAGTGGCGTGTGCATCAGCCCTTTGGTGTCCAAACCGCTACAATAAGAGTCAGGTGGCTGTTGATCTTACTTTCCTGAACATGGCTCATGTTGCGATCGTCGGACTTGGATGCGGCCCCCAAACATCTGCATTCCTGCAGTTCAAAGGGACAAAAGAGTACAAAAGTATAATGCATGCGAAAACGTTGGACAACATACTTGCATCGACAGCAATGGTTAGACCATGCCGGGATGTTGTCGCCTCCAATGCAAGTTGAAGCACAACTGCTTCAGCCCGTGGTACAGTCTGCTGTGCACAACTACCCGCAGCATTGGTAGCCAAGCTGCCGACAGCAACAAACTCATCCTCACGACATACAGCCGCAACCACAGCACAGGCACATTGTCGCGCGGATTGGAAATGAAACACACGCCACTGCCGTCCAACGGCCATGACTCAGCAAAAATGCCACTGCACTCCAGCAAGGGCGGTAGGCAAGTCCGTTCATGCGGGACACCACAAAAAATGCCGAAAACACCATCATTGTGCCGGTTTCCTCTCACGCAAGTACCAATCCGGAGGTGGATGTCCCAATTCTATCAAGACAAGCGAGCACTCCCACACAACCAATGATGCAACATGTCGTCAGGGTCCTCATGGTTTTCTCCCAAGCGCATTCCTCCGTGGCATGGGCACAGGCGACCCTGACCATGGAAACAAGCATGCCCACTTCATCAGGTGACTGCAACATCAAAACCATCTTGCAGCCGTGCGGTTTTCAGACTGGCAGCAACCTGTTCTGCCTGTTGTCTGCAAATGGTTTGCTCCAATGTGTGCCACAAACAGCAAACACTACGGGGATCATTCCAAACGCACAGTAACTCTTCCCCAACGTCATCAATCCAACAAGACAGGTGCGGAACGGTCCATCCAAGATCCATCAATAACGCAATCATGGTCCGGAGCGGGCCTTTCACATGCACCCAAGGGCAGCGTACAGTCCCTAGAATCCCCCAAAATGTCCATTCGATGCGCCAGACCTTATTCAAGGTGGAGCGTTGTCCCGATCTGAGATTGCCAGACAGCTTGATAAGCATTTCAACATGTCGACGACACAAGAATGAGGGGTCTTGCTCTCTGGTGAGCTGCAGCATCGCAACTTCAATGAGACCAACGCTCTTCAACACGCCGGCGGCTCTCGCCATCCGAGCAGAACAGGCAGCTGGAAAGCCCATTTGTTGGCATCACGATTTTCAGCAACTTGCTTCTCTGCCGCTTTGGAAAAAATCTCAAGTGTCCATGGCTTCGGCAGGCCTTTCTGTTGTCGACACCCTTACGATGCGCCTTTGGCCCAATGTGCAATCAAACCTCAACTTTCAAACTCATGATACCAACGTTTCGCTGTGCTAATTCCGTCGTAAACTTCTTGCCCAAACGCCGAACTGCACAAGAAACCTGTTGTCTTCATTGACAGCCTCAAACCCTCGTCTTCCAAACGCTGGGCCAACAGCTCAGAAGCTTCAGTTCATCGAAATGACAGACTTCGCGGCACACGATAGATAGTCATAACACAACGATCGCAAGATATCGTACAACTGCACATTGGCCAAGTAAACCGAGAAGGGATCTCCCACAACCAAACCTCTGGGTCGGGCTGGCCATGCCGTTGATGCCCCGCCCCCTCACCCCCCCCCCTCAGGCCACGTACTTCGGCGAGCGATGGCTCCGAAAGTGTCTCGATGGCCCATCGCTCGTAACGCTTGCAAAATCGGAAACGTTCCAAGTGCCTTCGGAGTGGCGGCGAGCTCTACCTGGCGGCGCACGTGGTGCCATACTCCCAAACCGCTGTCTCCCCTGCCGCTGCCTGCCCGTCTTTGGCGCCCCTTACAACCGAGACACGCCATGCATGGTAGTACTGCATGCCATGCAAGACTCGCAAGATGCATTTTGCAGATTCCCCATTCTTGCCGGTCAAGGCTCTGGGTCTTGTCCTCCTCCTCGCTGCTGCTACTATCGCTGCTGCTCGACTCCTTTTTTGCCTTTCCGAATCCGTTGCATGTCTGGGCAAGAGAGCCTGGCAAGCAGGCAAACTGCCTTCTTCTTTTTCTTATCCTTTTTTTTCTTGTCCTTTTTCTTTTTGTCCTGCATGCAAAGCCCCTGCTACACTGCGACATAGAAGGCATCATCCCTTGCAGCTGGAACCTTGTCTTTCTTTTTCTTCTTCTTCTTGTCGTCGCTGTCGCTGTCCTTCCTCTTCTTGCCCATGGCACCCTCACTGGGAGATGGATCGGGAAGTGGCCATCGCTCGCCCCACTGGCAGCTCAACGGCCCCTCAGACCTCTGAGTGGCCAGCCGTGAGTCGCGAGTGCTTGAGTGGTGGCGGCTCTCTGCGCGAGCCAGAGGGTCGGCGACAACGGCGACAAGAGAATCAACACTTGCAGCTGAAGGAGCTTTCTCTTCATGCGCCTCTGCGTCTCTCAAGGCCAAGCAAAACTCGCACCCTTTCAACCTCCCGCTATCGTGACTCGAGGCACTGTCAGCTCTGTCAGCTCCCTGTGGCAGCTTTCGCTTCCGCTTCCGCGGGCCCCGGTGCTTTGGGGTCTGCTTCTGGCGAGGAAGGCGCCGCTGCACCGAGTGCCTGTCTGAGAAGGTTTACAGACCGCATGAGCCGCAGCCGAAGTCAGCGCGAGAAGTCTCCTGGCTCTGGCCAGTCGCCTCTCCGGGCTTCGGCTTGTCCTGAGACCACCGATGGAAGTAGAAAGTGCCGCCGGCCTTGATCACAACTTTACGCACAGGCTCCATGTCTCAGATCTCTGCAGCCCGGAAGCTGCCAGTAGAATCACCAGTGCGATACCTGCATACCTCCAGAGGTCTTCAAACCGAAGGCATGCGCAGAGTCTGTAGAGTCACGGTAGAGGCTCTGCCAAGGGGCAAGGCATCGAATCGCTCTTCTTCCTCTTCCTCCTCGACCTCCTTGGCCTCTGCTTTCTCCTCCTCCTCCTTCTGCGCCGCCTCGCTGCTGTTCAGCGGCAAGCCCGTCTCCTTGGCCACCTGACGGCAGAGCAGAGAGACCCGCACGATTTTGCAGACTCCATCCTCAAGTGCGCCCAGGCACCATCTCCTCGATCCTTGGAGGGAAGCTCGGCCCAAAAGCTGCAATCGACGAGTCGACGTTTCGCGACTTTCCGAAGCTGTTCTCTTTTCCGATTGAAGCCCGAGGCGCTCGAAGAACTTTTTCGTTTCAGCTTCTGCCTCCTGGCATTAATGCAGAGAGAGTCTCTCAAAGAGGTTGCAAAGAGAAGAGACGGACGGATGCTGCGCTGAGCCGCTCCTTGAGGTTGTTGGGCCCGGCACCGGAGGCGGCGCTGGACACGGCGACTTTCGGGAAGGTGCCGGCGGGAGGAGGAGCCGGCACGCGCGGAACGGCCTGGCGCGTGGGCAAGGAGAGGTGTAACAACCCCAACATATCCGGCCTGGACGGGAGCGCCGCTGCCGTAGCCAGGGTACCCAGGGTACCCAGGGTACCCAGGGTACCCAGGGTACCCAGCACCCTGCACTCTTGTTTGTGTCTCCTTCAAGTGACCGAGAGCCAGAGAGAGCGAGCGAGAGCGAGCGAGAGAGAGAGAGAGAGGGAGAACAAGAAAGAGATACTACTGGTAAGATGACCTAAAAACACACGAATCTTCTTCCACAGGCACGGGGGATGTGCGACATCCCCCATGCCACCAGGGGCCCCCATAAGTCATCGGTTATGGGGCTTTGAAGGGATTGTGAAAGCAGCTTATGTTTCACATACATAGGACCGAAAGTTGTATTTGTCAAAATGCAGCAAGTATGTTCAACCGAACCTTCTTCAGCACAGACAAAGGAAGGCCGCTAAGCCCCCCCCCCCCTGCGCGTGCGCACGCGCACTAGCCCCTTGGTCTTGACTCCAGCTTTGAACCTCTCTGTCGCTCTCTCTCTGGTGCATAAGGAGCTGCCCAGGCCCGAGCCCAAGGCTCACCCCTGTTGTCGGAGCATTTGGGAGAAGCGTGAAACGGCAGCACAAGTACAGCGGACAGCGGAAAGCCTCATGAAAAGCTGAATAATGACTACACTGGTGTACATCCACGATTTGTAATGCACCAGCGTCCTATGACAGCATGATGAGGAAATGCGAGGAGCGGAGTACAGTAGTGCGCGGTGTCCAGCATAAAACAACATGAGCAAACAAGCCCGTCTCACGACTGTCCGACTGCTGAAGGCATAGAGCTATTGTTGTGGCATCCGCTCCCGCGTGCAAGGAACAGCATCAAGCAGACAGCGTACACTCTCACACACACACACACAAAAAAAAAAAAAACACCCTCTCAACAAGGCGGCACATATTCGCGGAACTCGAATTCGGCTTCTCGAAGAAGACAGGACCAGGAAAGGGAGCACGCTTTCCCCACCATACCAACACACGCATGACACATAGAGACATAGAGCAAAACCGTCTCAGGCTCTCAGGTCTTACCTGGCCATCTCTCTCGCTCTCTCTACAGGGAAGGGATCCTGGCATCAGAGGGCCGTTGATTTGGGCCGGTCCCTTCGCCTCTTTCCGAATTTATGGGTGCACTACAGGCCTCAAAGTAGACGACAACACACAACTTTCCTGCAAGCCGAAGAGTCTCTTCTTCACCACACTCCAGAGTCGTGGCTGCTCGAACGGTCGCCGTGCTTGGATTGGAGCTGGTTAGGATTTCCCGAAGCGACATAACAGTACATACCATATGTCCCTGACATTGCGCCAGTGACGCGGAGTTTTCCCGGCGCAAAACGAAGAGGCGCTTCCCTTTCTTCGCACTTGTACTGTCTCAGTCAACTCACGGTTCAACAGGCAGAAAAACGTTGCTGCCTTCTTGTCCCAGTAGCGGTAAAGAATAGAACCGCAGGAATGAAACAGGCTCAAGGGTGGAGTAAGGAGGAGAAAGTGCGGTTCTTCTCGGCCTGCCCCATCTGACACAGATCCAAACAAAAACGAAATGATCATGGGATCGCGATTACTGATCTCTGAGTGTGGTAATTCTCACAGTTTGTATCCTAGCACCTTGTCTGGGATTCCTCCTCCCTTCGTCAAAGCCATGCCCGGGGAAGGGAAAGGCCGCAATGTATACTGTGAGAAGCATGGTCTAATATGAGAGTCACGTTTGTGTCCGCTGATAAGCATCTTTGCTCGTCGCCTGCATTGCACGGACGTAGTTTGCATGACACGGCACGGAGCTCTGGCCTGATACGGCAGGTGGGCCGCAGGGCCCCCAGGAAGGGACCCAGGATTTCCGCTCCAAGGGCTCCAGCCGTTGCCCTGCGAGTCCAGAGTCACTCTTTTCGTGTGCCACTTCGCGAACATTGAAAGCTGAGAGGCATAGGAAGGTCTCGGGAAGGTCGCCTGATGCTCGAAGTAGCATCACTTCCGCACATCAACCTTTGGAGCTCCACTCCGCTGCACCTGCGCACTTGGCCGCCACTCGTCCTCCTCTCGCAAAGAGGCCTGCTCATCGGAAAGCAAGGCTGGATCCTGGAGTGCTCTAAGCGGCCTCGGATCGCATCCATCGGGACTCGGGCTGTCCCGTGTGAGAGACTTCCGTCGAAATCTGTGTAGCGTGTGCCGGCAGCGCCAGGAGAAGCAGCGCGTGCTTCATGGCTGCCTGATATGAAGAGCCTGAAATACTTGACAAACCTGAGACCGTGCCGGAGCTCGAGCCAGCACGGAGCTTCAAAGGGCCGATGTTCTCCAGAATTGAAAGGCCGCCCAAGAAACCAAGACATCCACACAGAGTGTATTGCTCAGACTGTTCGGCATCCGTCCTGCAGCTTTCTCGAAGTGGGACACCCCGGCGGAGGACTTCAGCATTTTGCTTCCGAGCTCGAGACGCTCGCGAGCGGGCTGAGGCCCGAAGTAACGCTGCATGCACAGGTGGAAAATCGAAGCAAATTCTGCACACTCTGAGCAGCCAAGTGGCATCTGTGCACCGGCATCTGCCTTTCGCGCCCGTTCGCAGCTACGTGTTCCAACAGCGCGAGCAGCGCCCTTGGCAGCTCTCGTGCTCCTGGAGGCAGTCGTAGTTCCTGAGCCACCAAAGAGGCACAGTCACTGCGCCACTCGGCCACTCTCTCTCAGGGCACCCGAAGTTTGGAACGAGGCGCTTTCCGAGCAGCGTTGGGTTGGACTTGATGGCCTGGCACTTCGGCACGAAACTTTAGACTCTCGATCAGGGGCGCCGCGCAGCCGTATTTACGACGTCCTCGCGCCTTGTTGTAGGTGTCCTCGCTCTTCAGGTAGCTGGGCGCTGTGCTTCTTCCCTCCTCTAGATCCTCCACGCTGAGGCCTGGAAAGTGGGATGCCGCCGTGCCAATGTACGTTGTGTATAACAGGGGCGCTCTGGGGACCCCGCCCAGGACTTCCGGGAAGCGCCGCACCTCGGACCAGAGGCACAGCGTCTCAGGCGCCGTGCTTCCAAAGCCATCGAAGGCAGCGGCCCAAGCTTTCTGCGCCAGGCCCTTGTCCTGCAACCAGCGCGCCTGGAGCCAAGACTTCCTCTGAACGCAACAGAACATCTCTGGTCCAGGGTGAAAGGCGGCGCAAATGGCGCTGCCATGCGCTGCCCATACTGCAGCTCCAGGTTCGAGTGTACTCCACGTGGGGCTGCTGTAGCACCGTAGCATCAACACTCAACTACGACCGATGAACTGTCGGCTTCGAAGCCGGTTCCAGCACTCTTCATGGCCCTTGCTTCAGCTGCTTCAACTTGAACATGTCGGAGAAAACAACCACTCTATCTATATATATATATATATATAGAGGCAGTGAACAACTGCGCACCGCAAGTCGCCCGCTTCCCACTGGGAGCTACGAATTATGAACTGGCTGTTCGATGTGTGAGACCAGGACTTGGGTTCAGCGTGCGGACAAGGAAGGAGTTCTGAGAGCCTCAAAAATTGAGCCTGTAGTCACCTTCGTCTTGCTACCGAGTTGCAGTCCTCCGCACCGCCTCTGGCTCCGGCGGCATCGGACTGCGCAGCTTCCGCCAGAAACGTCGGCTCTTGGCCGTCCAGGCATAGCCTGCCCAGGGCTCCTTTTCTTCGGCTTTCTTAACTTGGGGTCGTCCTCGCACCTGCTTGGAGCCAATCCAAAGCATCTTCCTTGGTGCTATCTTCGACGATCTCCAAGACGACTTGAGCGCTCTCCTCCCAAGCGGGGGAGGCAAGCTCGGGCTCTGCCGGCTCTGGCGCCGCGTGCCGGGCTTGGTACTCCACCCGTCGGCCACGTGCGGTGCCCCACGCTGAGACAAAGCAGCCTTTCAAATTGCTTCTATGAGTTGGCAGATGTTGAGAAGTAACGCTACAGTACCGAGCCCAGTAGCATAGCGGCAGGGACAGCACCAGCAAGGCGAGGCCGCGGGAACGACGGAGCGGAGCAAACGATGCCATGAAGGATCCACGAAACCGCGGACTTTTTCTGGGGCTGACAGGACTCTCTGATGTGCGCTGAGTTGCTCGAGTGGCTCGGAGGACTTCACGAAAGCATCCTATGCTTAACTGGCTTAACTCGGTGGGAAATCAGGCTCAGCCAGAGCAAACAGGGTATGTGGGCCGGTGCCCTCGAAATCAAGCAAGGATCGTCTGCGGCCTGAAGCTGCTATGCGAAGGCCTATGCTTGCATGCCAATCCCAGTGGTGCAATCTTGGCTTTTCCTCCTTTGGCTCCACTTTTATCAACAGATGGCAGGCGCGCAGGATGCCTGGGAGCAGATCGTGAGAAGGTGAGCGGTGGGCTTTAGCCTACAGTCCCAGCGAAAAGGGCTGAGGTGACAGCGATCTTCGGCCACAACTCCGCACATTCTTTGGCCACCGGGCCTCGTTCTGCCATGCTCCCACACATCACGGAGTCACGAGTTGATGCTTCAGAGACAGCCGCTGGCAAGGACTGCCCAAAGCACATGGAACTACGGGACACTTCACAGCTTTGGAGCACAAGCACACTGTGTACAGCTTACAGTGGTTGCAGAGTCTACAGCAACTTGCCCTTGGTGCTCAACCATCAACTACCCTCAAAGGAAACTCGGCACTGCTTGAAGCGGTGAAGTGGGTGAAGTGACTTGCATGAGGCACAGGCCCTGGATGGCCGAACCCTTCATCTCGCCCTTGTCGTTGACCTGAACGACGAATGAATGAGTTAATAATAACCACAAGTAAAACGCTTCCGGCTGCCCTTTCAAGAGATCCCTTTGGAGGTTCTGGCGATCACGCCGGCATTGTCCTCGAAGTAGACCTCACATTCAGTGTCAAGACTCTACTATTCTACCCTTGACCAGGCTCCGCCGTCGAGGACCAGGCGTAGACGCCCTCGCGGCGCCTCCAGGCTTTCTTCTGGCGGATCCTGAGCTCAGGCTCCCCGAGTCCCACGCCATGTCGATATCGTGGCAAAGATGCTAGGCACACACCCTGCAACGTTGGGCGAGGCACACCACGCCCTTCAGCACCTTCTTCCGGAGCTCAGGCTTGCCTGGAAGAGAGAGCACATCAGCGCCACGCCAAGTCTCGCCGGGGAGACCGCCCGCACGCCTTTCTTCACACTGCAGAGCACGAGATCACCAGGAGAGCAGTTCGGAAGCTTGTTGAGTCGGCCTCCGATCCCGATCCTCGCAAAAGAAGCTAGAGACTCTTGTCTCCAAAAAGGCCATTAAATGCAAAAGCATCAGCCGAAACGGTTGTGGCCACGGGTCACCGCAATGATGTAGAGGTTCTTGGCCTGGGAGATACACCCTGAAGGCACCGTTTTGCGACTGCATCGTCGGAGCTGAGCTTTGGAGGACGGCTACTCAAACGGGTGCAACACGACTTCTGGGCCTGTCTATCGGAGTCTGTCGGTTTTGGTCCCTAAACTAAACGACGCAACATCGCCCCAACAAAGAAAACACGCGCACACGCAAGGGAGGCAGCACAGGAGAAGGCAATCAGCCTGGTGTCCTACTAATTATTCCGAGTCCGAGATCTGGCGGAGCCCGTCGGGCCGTCAACGATCCAGGGGTGCCAAACAGCCAGCGCTAGCGCTGCGAGTCCACCCACATGACGGCTTGGTGTGGTCCACACAGGCGAAGATGCTTTAAGGGTCGGACCCCGCTGTTGTCTGCGCAATTCAGCAAGGTGGCCACCTGGCAACCCTGCGCCATGCGCATCTTGCCTTAAACATCAGCGAGGCAGCTGTGACGTATCTGCGGCAGCTGCTTGGCAGCAACTCAGTGGAAGGCATTGCTTCGCCGCACGGCCTTTCTTCATCTTCAGCTACGACGTGGGCCGCTGAGTGTCCGAGCCAAGCTGCCAGGCGCAGAAGCCATGAGGGGAGGGGGGTCCGGGTCGGGTGCTCTGCGGTTCACGAGCACAGGTTCGTCTCTCCCACATCAGCTCTTTCTCTCTCGCTGCTTTGTCCTGAGACGCTGTGAGAGCTGCCAGGCTCGCGAGATGCGCAGAGCTCGTTGCAGGCCCGGCCCCAGCTCCGGCTGCAGGCTGTCGGCGATGGCGACGTTTTGCAGCAGTGCCAAGGCCCAGTCCCAGCGGGCTTTGGCGAGGCCCTCGGCGGCCGCGCGGTACTGGTTCCAGTGGGCCTCCAGGGACTTGCGCCGGGCCTCCTGCAGCAGCTCCAGGCACGCGGCCCACGTGAGAGTGCCGCGGAGCGTGGCCTGGAGCATGAAGGGGTTCCGGCGCACGCTCCGCCTCGAGGCCTCCTGCAGCAGCCAGGCCGCCCAAAGCCAAGAAGACCCTGCCGTGGAGGCGCCTCTGCTCTTCTTTGGCAGGAGGCTGAAGAGGGCGGCGTCGTACATCCCCACGTGGCACTGAAGGCGCCGCAGCCGGACCTCCCCCAAGAGCCTGAGCACCGCAAGCCACTGCCGTGGCCAGGAGCAGGCCCGGGTCGTCAAAATGAAAGCCAGGGATTGGCTTTCATCATATCGGCTCTTCCGCATCCCTATGCGGCCTATGCGTTCCTTGTGGCTCAGTGTGTCAAGCAAGCGGAGGGACAGTGTCCAAGCAGCTCCCGCGACGCAGACCCGAAGCGCTTCGCAGCAGACGTAGGCATCAGCTCTTCCGAAACGGGAAAAGTGCTGAACAAACATCCCCAAAGCCCTTTGCCAGGTCGCCTCCAGCTGAAAACCATCACAGAGGGAGCGCATGCCGGCGACGGAGGCCAGCGCATCCTTCGGAGGCTTCTGTGAAAGATGCTGCAGCGGGTCGCGCCAGGACCCCCAGCGCAAGCTGCCCTGTGACCACCCGTAGATGTGGATGTCGTGCACGCCGTGCACGCCTCGCACCTGTGCTGACTGCACCAGCGCCAGCGACAGCACCCACGGCCCGGAGCGCGTGAGGCAAGCGAAGCCTCGGATCAACTTGCAATCACTCGCTGCATAGGGGAACCTTGCAAGGTAAGCAACCAGCAGTCGTCGTGGCAAGCAGTAGAAACAAGCTGCAACCAGTCTGGAACGGACGACTTATCCCTTTGTTCAAGGTCTTCCAAGATTCCAAGAATCAACCCGTGTAATTTGAGGGGCGAGGCCAGGAAAGCTAGCCTAGGCTGGAGGGACGAAAATAAGCGATACAGAGCTGGCTAGGCGGCTTCGCGGGCTCCAAGCATCATCACATCCAACCACATCAGCAACGGAAGGCAAGCTGACGAGGCGGGCAATCAGCAACGCAGGGGAAACAAAGCCGGCGAAGCGGGCTCCAGGCATCCTCACCTTGACTGCAACCAGAACCGCATCAGCAAATGGGGGAAACGAAACAGAGATGGCATCAGCACGTCCGGCACATCCAACCACATCAACAACTCAGCGGCCGGGGAGGGGGGGGGGGGGTCTGGGCCAGCGGTCCCGGCCTAGCGCTTACGCAGATCGAAACGAAAGCCTCGCTATGCTAGCTTTCGTGACTTCCCCAACAGCAGAGTGATGGATAGATAATGGGTTGGGTTCGAGCTGGTCTCCTGCGAGCTCTGATGCCGTTCGAACGGTTTGCTCCTCTGCCTCAGCTGGTACAGTCCCTTTCGAGCAGTTTGGGCTCTATTTCTCCTCGAACCCTTTTCGAGCGGTTGCGCCTGATTCTCAAACGCTGTCTAGCTTCGAGCACGGTTGGCTCCTGCTTGTTCAATCACTTCTCCAGTTTCTTTCACCGCTCTACTCCCCTCTAATTCTCATTCTCAACTCCTTTTCGATCGGTGTGGATACGTTTTCATATCAAATTTTCCGGCGGCTTACTCCTCCTTCTCAAATATCATCTAGTCACTTCTCGTGTCTTTCGAGCAGTTTCACCCTTCCAACAACTGAATGCTCCCTTTCGACCGGTCTCCGTCACGTTCAGGCAGTTTCCCGCCTCTTCCTCAATGTGTCTATTCTTCCTCCTCTTGGTCAAGTTTTCTAATCGCGGGCAACCGGTTGGTTCCTCTTTCTCAGCATCTGTAGTCCACTGGTCTGATTCAGGTATTTGACATCCCTTTCGGTACGAGTGCCTCTTTTTCTCCGCCTCTGTGTTTCAAAATTATACAATCCCGTTCGAGCGGCTCTGCTCCGTACTTCTCTGGATGCTCTCCTCCTATTCAGATGTGTTCTAAGCCCTGTCAGGCAGGTTGCTCCTCTTGATCATGTATTCTAATCTCTTTCGTCTGCTCCTCTTTCTCAACTGTTCCAGCACCATTCGAACGGTTCGCTCGTCGTTCTCACCGTCTCTGGCATTGCTCGAGCTATTTGCTCTTACTTCTCAAGTTCTTTCCAAGTTCCTCTACTCCTTTTCGTGCGTTTTGCTCCTACATCCCCGGCGGGCGGTTTGCTCCTCACTGCCAGTAACACCACCAAACACTCGGGTCACCCTTGTGCCAGTTGCCAATTGTTTTCAGTGTTTGTGGAGCGGTCTTGTGCTTTTCTTGTCTTGCGGCGTGCCCCGTTCACGTGGCGAATCGTCTTTTGCCTTTATTTCGTTTTGTTTCGCAGTGTCGAAGGCCATTCGTGCATTGCTCTTTTGCCTCAATTTCTCCGGTCCGAGCGGCTTATTTTTCGTCTGGACCACCTTTGCCCCTCTCTTCCAACATGTTCAGCTTGTTCATAGTTCCTATTCCTGATTTTTCCTAACCCTTACGAGTGGCTCTTTTGTTCCATTTCTCTTGTCGGGCGGCACGCTTCTGATCCTCGAGTTAGTCCGTCGCTCAAACTGTAACATTCAGTCCCTCTGTCGGCTTGTCGTCCGTTCGAGCAGCGTGCTTCTCCTACTCCTTTGGCTTACTCCTCTTACTGGTCTTCTCTGCCGGACCCTGGACCAGACCGATCCGACCCTCTGCCGGAGTCCCTGGTTGCAAAAATGCCGCCGAAGGCGCTCTTCACCGTCGGTCGCAGCCATGTGCCTTCGAAGATCCCAAGCAGGGTGAGGGCCTGAAGAAAATGAAAGCATAGGCGCCGCTCACTAGCTCGAGAGCACCGAAAAACTCCTGCCTCTCTCCAGTTCGAGTCCAACGCACGGCGCGTGGGCAACACGACTTCGCCTCTGCTGGCAACAAAAATGCAAGAAGGCGGGGCCAGAGGCAGCTGAAAGGCGGGGGCCCCAAAAGAAAGAGACACCCCCTCACCCCCTACCCGCGGCCGGCCTCGTAGGCGCAGCAGGCGCAAGTCTGTCAGCAGCCCCAGGCCGAGGCGCCAGCGAGACTCGAAGCAGGTGCTGCAGAGCTGCCGGAGCGGCCGCCGCAGACTGGCGATGGAACCCTCTTCAGCCTCCGCCGCCGCGGCGGCTTTGGCCAGGTGGATAGCCGCGGCGAGCCGGCCAGTTTCAGCGATGTTTTGGGCCAGCGCCACCTGGAAACTGGCCGAGAGCTGAAGGCCATGGCGGCCATTTTCGTTCAGGAAGCCCAGTGGCGCCTGCCACCTCCTTGCACGGGCGAGCGCTCGCAGCCCCACTGCTTCAGGCAGCTTCGGATCTCTCGCCGGCTCTGTGCTGCCCGTGCTCTCTAGGTAGAGGAGAACGACCAGCCACGGGCTGCTAGCCAATGCCTTTGACATCCACACTTCGCAGGGCTCCAAGCGCCGACCTACGTGGTAGGCCCAGAGAATGCCAGCCCAGTGAACTTTCGCTGGCCCCTTGGCCCGATGCCAGCGCAAGTCTCTCAAGTTCGTCTCTCCGCCCTCGCTTCGCCAGCTGTAGGGCTGCACCCATCCTGCGCCGAGGTCTGAAGTTCTCGCTGAAGGGTTTGGAGCTCCCAGCGGTTGCCACCGCCACCGCGGTTCCATGCGGACGCAGATGCGAACACATCACGCAAGACGGAAGGGGGCTTAGGGCTCGGCATAAAGGGGGCACTCAGCAATCGGCTGCGAGTATCCATCAGTGGCAAAGCAAAATGGCAAAATACTTGCTATCCAAGCACTTACAAGGGCAGCTTGAAGGAGAAAGGTATAGGACCTTGCGACGTGCCGGCTCTTGATGCGTAACTGTGCTTTCGGTAGTCCCTCGATCCCGGCCTGGAGCCGCTGCTCTCTCTCTCTTTTTGGAGACGCATCCGAGTGTGTCTGAAAACTGCGACCTGGCAGAAGGGGACCCCATCGAGATCGAAAAGAGTGCCAAGTCCTCTGCTGTTCGGGTGTCTGTGCCGTCTTTGGCTCGGCTTTAAGGCTTTAAGCTGCTCCGTCTTCACTTGGCCAGGCAGCTATTCTGAATTCAGAAATCTTAAGCTCTTCTGAATTCCTTTCCGAATCTCACAAAGGACCTGAGCCGCCTACCTGGACCTACACAGCTCTTCCTGGTGAAGAGCCAGAGTGAAAAGCAATTCAGCCGACCGGCTCAGTCCGGTGACATCATGTCGTTGCCTGCTGGCCTAAGATGTAACAAGCTGGCAGTAGTGGCAGCCGTCGACCGTCGGCCGAGGACTGAGGCCCCCGGCTTGGAAGCTTGATCCGCGCCCGCTGCGCCCGCCTCAGCCGCGTCACTTCCAGCAAAACGATAGAAGACAAAAAGAGAGAGAAAGACAGAAAGAGAGAGAGAGAGAGAGAGAGAGAGAGAGAGCATGTAATGTTGTGTCTATGTGCTTTGCAAGCCCGGGGGACCTTCTTGGAAAGGTACACGGCCATCTCTCTCTCAGCGCCTGTCGGTGGTCAAGAGTCTTGCAGCCATGCAGGCGACCGAAGGCTTGAGCTTTTGGAGTTTCGTCGGCTTAAAACTGGCTCGGCATCTGCACGATTCTGGCACGGAGCAGCGAAATCGGGGCGACGTGAATCCCGGCGGTCATGGCGCGGAGGTGTGTGATCTTCGTGGCAAATAAGCGCGGCAAAGAAAAGCTTTTGCCTCGCATGTCTTCAGAAGTTTTGGGGAGGGCGGACATCCTAACAACCGGCGATGCAACCTCCCCATAGGTATCAAATGCTGTTTTCGGGGAGCATTTGGCTTGGAGTGAGCCCGAAGAGGAGTTTCAAAGGACCAAGACAACAGTGCAACTCGGCTCTATCATGGAGAGACTCCACGGGTATTGGGCTGGGATCAATTACTACTTGTTACTTAACCTATATCGAAGCTTTCTCCGCTCTGTCTCTCTTCTTCCTCAGGGCATAGGAGGTCCCCGGCCTTTTTTCGGCCCCCCACATGTATGGGGCTTTGAGGGGACGTGAAAAAGCATGAGTTCCACATCGGGTCTGCAGGAGCGTGTTTTTGATAAAGTGAAAGGTCCCCCGATGCTTCCCCTACCTCGACTTTGGGACACCTAAATGCAAATTCTCATTTATGCTGTGGGTCGTCACAACAGCCAGAGCAGAAGAACAAACTGTGACAGAACAGATAACTACAGTTCACCTGTTTCCCGGCGTAACGTGTATAAACCAGCGTCAGCTGTTCTCAGACTCTCCACACACATGCACATCATGCTCTCTGAATGCTAGCTTCCAATATCAGCCTCACGACACACCATACGGCCAAAAGTGGAGCATTGACATGGTGCGCATGTGCACTTAGTTTCAAGTTCCTCTCGCTGTCCCCCTTTTCATTGAAGCAACACACCAGTAACACCACAAAGTATATGTGTTTGCCTGGCTGCTGCTCTGGCTCCTCTCCTTCTTCTTCTTTCGGCGCTTCCGCGAGTTACGGGCGTCCGACATCTTTCCCCCTAGTATATGACATCACATTCGCAGGAGGTCAGCGATTTCTGGAGGAAAGCAGCACCGTAGCCTCTCGCAAGTCCCCCGACGAAAAAAGCTCCCAACCACACACATTTTCTCCCCAGACAGTACCATGCGATTCAGGGCTCGGGACATCGAAGGCGACTTGTCCCCATTGAACATGGTCGATACTCTACATGGTGAGGCAAAAGGCCAGAAACAAGTGACGAAAAGTCTTAAAGGCTGAAAAACAAGCGTCACCAAAGCTCTCTCTCTCGCAGAGTTGATGTTTAGGGATTGTACTAGGACGTATGAGTTGAGTTGGCAGGGGCCGCAGGAACGTGGGACTGCGTGCACAGCCCGGAAACAGGCTGCGGCAAGCGCAGGAACGGAGGACTGCGGTCTGCGGCCTACCAAATTAAGGAAGGGTGCATAGAATAAAGCAATGGGAAGATTCCGGGGAGGGCTGTTCAGGACAAAAAGCCAAAGCAAGACACGGTTTCGTGCCTGAGAAACCCCTCTCCGGACACCATAGCTGGGATGACGCATGGCGACGTATAGCTTTAGGAATCAAGGCTTCTGCAGCCTTCCAGGAGTTCCAGCAGATCAGCATTTGGATGACCTGACCCAGGAGCTCAACAGACGTAACTTCTGCTAGCAGATTCCCAGCGCCTGACTCCTTGGCGATGTCGAGCGGTGTCTTTCCATCCTCACTCAAAGTTCGTGAAAGATGAGTCAAGAAAGGCTACAAAACAGCGCTCCTGGTTCTTGATCCGCACAGACCTACTTCAAGGCTCAAAGGTGACGGCAAGATGTTCGTGGACTTGGTCTTTGGCTTCGGGTTGGGTCCCCGGCCTCTCGCCCCCATTTTCAACGATCAGCCAGGCCTCTCAGCTCTGGGCCCCCCTTTGTGGCCTACGCTGTGGGCCTAGGCTGTCGGGCTCCGGGCGACGTCTTTGGCGCCGCTGATGGCCGCTTCGTGCAGCGCCGTGTTGCCGCGATGATTCTGCCTGAAGCCGAGTGCGAAGCCATGCGAAGCACACGATGTCCGCAAGGCGGACGCATGCGGACGAGGCCCCGCACTGATCTCGCTCGGCTCCGCCCCAAAGCAGCATTGAGGCCACCAGGCGCTTGTCGTGGATGCCGGCCTTCAAGCTGCCAAGCTTCGGTTTTGGGGGAGGGGGCACGGAGAGTTTTTGAGAGCGCTGCAAGGATCAAAGGCGTGTTCCCATGGGCATCCACAAGATTCACATCCGCGCTGCACTCCACCAACCTCGGTGAGAGGCGTGCTGTGACGAAGCAGATACTAAGTCTCTGGGCCTCCGCGCAAACTCCCCGCAGCAGCCTCCCCGGCCTTAGCCGCGCAGTGCAGGGCCGTGTTCCCCAGGGCATCCTGGCAGAGCACCGCGGGCGGAATGGCGAAACTCCCACGAAACTCTTTTTCTCCTTGTTGGGGCCGCACGAGAGTTCTGAGAGCTCTGCGGCAGGTCTCCACAAGATGTGGAACTCTCTGGCTTTGTCTCCCCACACGGTGACATCAACCGCGCTACGCATTCCTTCGGGTATGGATACTCAAAAACGGCACGAATCCACGACCTGCCCGGGTTAATGGTCGACGCAAGGCCAGTGTGGGGAGGAGCAGATGGCCCTAAAACGTGCCTAAACAGGGCATTATGCAGTCGCGCACAAGCCGCATGGCCTGCAGCACCCCAGTTTTGAATTCATTTGGCTGCTCTCCGCGGGTGCACTCCATCTAGATATCCGCCGACCCCTGCTGGGGCGGCGCCAGTGAAATCCCGAAGGGTTGGTTTTTGCTTGTCTTCCCGTCAAGAAGAAGTAACAGGCTTCAAAAATTGGCGACACCGCCACCCCACCACCCACACCGTTT